AATAAAAAATGAAGTTCTTAATGGATATCCTTTTTTTAAAAAAAAATATTTAATGGATTTTATTACAGGATTCGTTTATCATTGTTTTCGACTTTTAATATCAATGTATATTATTTATAAATTTCCTTAGTTTTCACACTGATGATGCTAGGGTGGACTATATTGTCGGGTCTTTGGAATTAATGCGTAATATGAATCAAGAAAGTGACAAGTTACCTTGGCAAATTCGATTAGAAGAAAAGCAGAAAAGACATTTTGCGCGTTCAATAACTCACAAGGTTAAATCAATAATTAGATACGGCTGGTTTTTTGGCATAAAATAACACCTTACACATTAAATTTTCAATTATTAGTCTGATACAATTGATACAATTGATACAATCGAGGACAGTGATATGAAACGCATAGCCCTTATATCTCAGGTTCAGGACCTTTTCCCTGATCTGGGTGAAGGATTCATAGAAGAATGTTTAATAGCTTTTGATGATAATGTAGAAATGATTATTAATCGATTATTGGAGAATTCTTTACCAGCTCATTTAAATGAATTAGATCGTTCAATGGCTCGGTATGTTAAATATATCTTAATTAGATTAACATTATATAATATATATTTAATATCTTATTGTCTTTTAGTCGTGTTGCATCAATGACCAATGATAGCGTGAGCGGTTCTAAAGGTTTGATATTATATGTTCTGTTAAATTATGCCTTTCGCAACGTGAATTACGAACTCTTTATTGTGTAATAGAAGAAAGTCTCTTAGCTCAACGTCGAAACGTTTTTGACAATGATGAGTTTGACGTATTTTCTGGTAAAAACATTGACTTTAAACGTGTCAATAAGGGAAAGAAGAAGTATGACTTTGAATATATATATATATATTTTTACTTTAAAATTTGAGCACATTTCTAATTATTATTATTTTTTTTTAAAGTCGTGGTACCGCAGACGCATTGTTGGATGACAAGTCATTTGTAAAAGATTACAAAGAATCAATTATAAATATTGCTAATGATATGATGTATGAGGATGAATATGATGATACTTATGATACTAGTGGTCTGAAAATGGGAAGTATTGACCTTCATATGGTCGACGAGAATGATGAGGAGACAGAAATTAGTAATACAACGCATGGAAAGGTAAATGAAAAAAAAATTTTTTTATTTTACCGGAGGCGTACCTTTACACGAGATGACTTCACTCATTTCGCAAGATGAATTTGATAATCTCGCGTAAGGTATATCCCTAGATTATATTATATTTATTTTTATGAAATTCTATGATTATCATAGGTTGACCCTGGCATTACGAATGAGAGTGAACTTATTAAGGCATTTCAATCAGACCAATCCGTTTTTGAGAGAACTAGTGCTGTAAGGAGATCAGATAAACGTGCTAGACTTAAGAATATTACAGGAATGGCTGATGAACAACTTGAAGGATGGTACATCATGTTTCAAAGAAATGTAATTATAAATATTTTTTATAACTATTGTTTATTGTTTAAAAATATTTTTTTAATTATGATTTGCATTCATTCTAGCCAAGGAAAGACAAGATTCTTGCGAAATACGAGTATAGAGATAACCGTGAAGAAGCATCATCTAGTGATTTTAGTAGATCAAAAACTAATAAGCATAACCGAGTCGATAAATTTGATACGGCTAAGCCGGCTTAACCGGTTATTAAAAAGTTAAATTTTTCAATAACGATAAATTAAATCAAAAAAAGACTTTGTTGCATAATGTTCTCGAAAGTAAAAAAAAAAAAAAAAGTGTTATTTCAACATATTAACTTATGCCATTGACTATAGTTAGTGCTCAAGTACTAATTACATAATTTCAGTAAAAATGATTAGTAATATCGGTTTCTTGATGCCCATCAGATCAAATAAAACAATTTATTGGCAAATTTTGTTCAGCAATTGTAAAGAAATCCTTTCTTAAAAGTTATATTTGTATTTTTTAAAATTCAAGGGAATCTAAAGTGGGGATACCTTATTATAAAATTAAATTAACTTATGATTATGGATACTTTAGGTAATGTTAGATTAGGGTGTGTTTATTCTATTTTTCGTTTACCAGTACGCAATGGTGAATGGATTTTGAATCAGTTTTGAGAGGTTGTCAGATTTAAAAAGTCTAGAACCTGTTAGTCACATGACTGTAGTTCAATATGATTGGCTAAATAATATCCGATCTTACTACATAGAATTAATTTAATTGGTTAGATCAAAAATATTAGATATAACAATTATTAGAGATTTTTTGAATATCAATTATCAGAAATAGCAGGTTATCAGATTTAGATTATGGAATGAGCATGGTGAACCAATTTTTTATCAGTTGTTTTGACAGGGTGAACTGTAATTAAACTTTAAAAAAATTAAATTGTAGTTAGAATTTTAAACGAAGGTTTTTTAACAATTATTTAATCAAATACAGTATAATAATAATTTTCTATTTAATAAATTTTTATTAAAACTGATTAGGTAATTTTTGTCGCGGCTGACGCTAAGATAGGTGCTAATGAAAATTGATACTATATATTTTGATATAAAGCTTTAAAAAGTTTGGGATGCGTTTTTTGGGGTTCTTTTTAGGTTAGGTTAGGATTCATGGATAGAATTGTTAATAAGAGTATATGTGGATTTTAGTAGATTTAGTGGATTCAAATTGAGATCCCAAGTCTCAGCATCAGCCGCGACATTTTTTAAAATTTTTAATTATGTATTTTGTCTTAGATTTTAATAAACAATTTTTTATTTAATTTAAAATTAAAAGTTTGTTTGCTATAAGTCTTCTCTTAACAAATCACTTTTCAGAATGAGTACCTTCCATTGTTTTATATATGATTTATTTAAATCTTCAAACCAAAAGTCACCTGATCAAATGTTTTGCTAAAAAATTTGGTGAAGGAACGTCGCTCAAATTTGCCAAGAAAAATATGTAATAACGAAATACACATGCAAAAGTAAAC